TACTGTAAACAAGTGCTCTCCGCCACTTCCAAAATTACAGCTGTTGCCCGTCATCACACACACCAAGGTCAAGTTCTCTCTCACACTACAAAGCAATCTCTGGTATCTTCAAAAGCCAAAGAGATCAGGTCACATAATACAAAAGAGAGTAGAGTTTTAGATGTGAGAGAAATCTGTTTACAGCTCTTTAGATTCTGCAGGAAGACAGAAGGCCACCAAAAGAGGGCAGTGGTACTTTTCCTCTGTTCCTTAAAGTGTTGGAATCATTAGATGTCACCCCTAGACTCTTCTGTGGTACTGAAGGCAGCAAAGAGAAAGAAAGGATAGGAAGGAGTAGAAGAAAATAAGAGAACAACCCTTAAGAAGGGAAGTAAACACGAGGACCACGCACATGATTTCAGTCCACTGGAAAAGAAAATTCTAAAAACAAGCTCCAAAGACAAAAAGCAGAAAGGCCTTCATGTGTGTGTGTGTCTGTATGCGTGTACGTGTGTGCGTGTGTGCACATGTGTGCATGCGTGTGCATGTGTGCATGTGTGTACGTGTGTGCGCGTGTGTGCATGTGTGTACGTGTGTGTATGTGTATGTGTGTGTGTTTAACAGTCTGGCCATAGAGCTCCTTTAAAAAAAAATCCTTTCAAATTTCTTATTATTAGATTTTAGCCAGGACAAACAACTGATATTTCTGGCTTTTGAATTTTTTTTTCCCAAAGACACCCTCCCAAGTGGTAAAGTAATATCCCTAAAATCAAAATTTATGCAGACATCAAACCAAAAGAAACTGGTTTCCTGACCAGGAACTGAACATCGGCTATAGCAGTGAGAGCTCCAGAGTCTCACCACTAGACCATGGGGTGGAATGCTTTTGTTTATTTCTTTTCTTTTGGTAAATCTTGCAGGTGGTACAAAGCAGATAGTTTGAGCAGTTAAAGGATTTTTACTTGTTTCAGATCTGATCTTTCTTAGCAAATTCCCTGAATATTAGTATTTCAACGTAAGTGTCAAGGATTACTTCTGGTTTAGAAAAAATTTGTTGGCCCTGCATTTTTATAAGCTCAACACTCTTATTTTCACTCATTTCCCCTTTAAAAGATCATTAATATTGTAATTAACTGTTTTATTACCCTATGCAATTGTCAGTTTGGCAACAAAGGCATGTTCTGGAGACTCATCTTGTTCACTGAGTAGTCTTTTAACTGAGCACGCGGTTCAGAACTAGATGTGATTCACAGTGACTCTGGAACTGAAACAATAGGAGTTTCAGGGAGGGGCTCAAAGACCTGGAGATTTTCTTCAGGTGTTGGTGATGGACATCTTTGGTTTACCTCCTGAGTGAAGGTCATTTTTCTCAGAATTTGTTTTAGAAGGCTTTTGGGTGCCACTGGAGGCAATTTTAGTTGTCTCCAATTTTAGTTGCCTAGTTCTAAAGCCAGCTTTTTCTGATTGTGTGTGCAAATAAATTGCTTTAGGTGTCTCAAGAGATTCCCTTCCCACTTTTTCTTTTGGTCATAGTTGCTTATGACCATCCTGGGTTAGGTGGGTCCCTTCTCCTAGACATCCACAAGACAGTGCCCCCTAAGTGTACATAAAACCAGCTGCTGGTTAATTCAAAGCAGTTGGTCATAAATGAAAAATCAAGCGCAAATTTCAAAAATAGGAAAGCAGCTGCAATTTTTAAAGTATGCTGTGTGAAGTGAGACCGCTGGTGCCTAATGCCAATCCTTTGGCCCAAACCTCCGCTGCGAAATAAAGGCAGAAAAACTTTGACCCCAGTCCTGAGACAAAGGCAGGTAAAAGGCTGTTCTCTGCAGAGTTCTTTACCTAAACCTCTTGTCCAAAGACGGACTGAAGCCCTCACTCTTAAAGGAAAGAGAGGGTCTGAAAAACAGACCCCAAAAGTCTAACTACCAACCAAATAGCAGGAGAACATCTGAAACACTCAGTGGGACTTCTGAAGAGGAAATGTTCATGGTGGTACCAAGTGCTGCATTCAGAGAGAAACACCAGGTGGTCTGGGGGAGTCACGCTGAATCCTGCCAACTTATGCCAGATATGTCAGCCTCAAAGGAAGAAACTGAGGCAAAGTTAATATAAGTAGAAGAATTATTTGGGCTAAGCTTGAGGGTTGCAATCCAGGAGCACAGATTCATGGATTGCTCTGAATTAGCAGCAGTTACAAGTGAATTTTTAGAGGCAAAAAAGAGGGACAGGGAACGGGCTGATACAAAGTTGTTTGTCAGGAATTCTCATTGGTTTACAGGAATAACATTAATTAGTGTTTGGTTATACGTGGTAAGCTACAGTGTATGGGTTATAGTGTCCAGTGTGGCATTGTTAGGTTAATTTGTAGCTATTCGTGGCAATAGCAAGTGATTTCAAGAGATTAATATATAGGCTGGGGGTGATGGCACACATCTGTCATCCCAGCACTTTGGGAGGCCAATGTGGGAGGATCACTTGCGGCCAGGAATTCAAGAGCATCCTGGCTAACATGGTGAAACCCCATCTTTACTAAAAATACAAAAAGTAGCCGGGCGTGGTGGTGCACACCTGTAATCCCAGCTACTTGGGAGGCTGAGGCAAGAGAATTGCTTGAACAGGGGAGGAGGAGGTTGCAGTGAGCTGAGATGGCACCACTGCACCACAGCCTGGGCGAGGGAGACTTCATCTCCAATGCAGTCCCCCCAACAAAAGACAGCTTTGCAAGGCTACTTCTGTTTGGAGGCCCTCTGAACAGCCATTTCAAATTATGTCAAATAAGTATATTTTGGGGTGAAATATATGGTTTCCTTTATGACACAGGCCTGGGCTCAGTCCTGGATTCAAATCCTGTCTCCTCCCCTTATTAGCTGCGCTGATGGAGGCAAGGATTTATCTTTCCTAAGCCTCCAGTTCCCATCTCCTATATGGTCTTGGACGACTGAATATGGTAACACATCTGAGCTTCCTAACAGACTCCCCAGCTCGCGACAGGTGGTAAATATATGGTTACTTTTCCTACCTCTTCTCTTCTACCCCGATTGTAAAATTGTTGTCTCAGGCAGGTTTTAACGACCTTTCAAGGAGCACTTCAATCCCTTTTCTCAACTCTCCTTGAGAGGCAGAGCTTCCCATTTAAGCAAGAATGGCTTGCTACCGGCCAGAAATTTATTGAATTGCCCAGAACTAATGTTGTTTTGCTTTTTCATCAGAGATCATGAGGCTCTGGTATAAAGCCTAGATTGCATTTTGGTATTGTTTTCTTTTTATTTATCTCAACCCAGAATAGCCCTACACAGCATTATTACAGAAAACATTCAAACAACACAGAAGTCTGTAGAGTAAAAACTGCAAGTCCTTACCTCAGGCACTTTGTGATGGACATTTAGGGTGCTGGGGTTCAAGGGGTCTAGGAAATAACGTTTTTCTTTCTAGCCTGAATCTTGAACCAATTGAGAAATGAGATCAAGACAGGTAGAGCCAAATATCACTTTTATTAGTAATAAAGTCAGTATTGTAGAATGTGGTTTATACTGTAGGCAAGTGGGTTTCCTAACTAAACCCCAGAATTAGATAGATCCTGTCACTGGTGGTACTGGATGAGTTCCAGTAGAGCCTCAACCACAAATCACAGCCTGGCCCAGGGAAATCCAGTTACAGACTCTCTGTAGGGGGCACACTGTCAAAGGAAGGAGAGAGGAGGGGACTGAACTCATGCCAGTTCCTTATTCCAAATGCACTGATCATGTAAGCTGGCCTCACCTGTGTATACATGCGTGCATGCATGCACGCATGTGTGCACATATGCGCGACAGAGGAATGGACAGAGAGAGTGAAGGGACAGAAACAAGTCAGGAATGTTACAGTAATAACTGCTGCCCATGAGGAAGGAATCATAAGGATGGTTCCCTTCCCCATATGTAATCTCCAGTTTCCTGCCACTGTCATTATGCTTGGGCAAACATCCTTGCACATATTGCATTAGGCCCTTGGGTGAGTATTTCTGCAGAAAGAGTTTCTAGAAGGGAGTTGGTGATTATGTATACTTCGGGTTTGATGTGCACTGAGTATTGATTTTGAATGTACCAGCTGAATGATTTTTTCTCCCTTTTATTTCTGCCAGGATTTAGCAGCCTCAAGTTACTAACAGTCTCTTCTGATAGGGAAGACTGCTAAGGACAAGAGCACGTTGTTTCTGTAACAGCTGCATGACCGTCTGAATACAGGCCAGTTATGGAGAGTCAGGTCAGCCATGGAAGGGTAGATCCAGGCTTTCCTGTCTGAGCCTCTGGGTTGCAGTACCTGGATGTGTAATGAATCCTCCTCCACCTTCACTGCCCTCCTCTGTCAAATGGGCGTCGCATCACCTAGGGGTCTGGGGGAGAATTAAATGAGCTGATTTACTTAAAGTGCCTAGGAGAAAGATCATGAAAGGAGGAGAGAGAAGAGGGAAGGGAGTGAGCACCAGTGCAGACAAATAAAAATTGAGTTTATAAGACCCATCTAGCGCTGGGCCCGGTGGCTCATGCCTGTAATCCCAGTACTTTGCAAGGCTGAGGTGAGAGGATGTCTTGAGCCCAAGAGTTCAAGACCAGCCTGGGCAACATGGTGAGATGCTGCCTCTTTTTATGTAACAGTAAAAAAGGCATCTGGGAGTGCCACAGATCCTCTTTGGTCATCATCAAAGGAGGAGCTCATGGGAGTGAAACTTTCTGGAATGAGCGCTAATGACTTTAATAATAATGAAAAAATAAAAATAAAGAAAAACAGAAATAAAGTGCAAGGTAGCTGTCGGGCGGGAATAGATGCCATGGGCCTTTACTGTGTCACAACTTTAAGTCCGGGAGTGGAAATTATCAGAGATGTGCTGTTAGGGATGAGAAAGCCGAAGCTTACAAAGGTGACCTAAGTTGCTCATTGGCCCCCAGCGAGCTTGGCCTTCGGTCCGTGGACTCCAGAGACAGTGCCCTTTCCCGACCCGGGGTCGGATGGGATTGCCGCGTGTAAGGCTAAGCCAGCGTGCCCTCTCCTGGCCTCCTCCAGCCCTGGGCCGAGCCTGCCGGAGCCGGCTCCGGGTCCCCGCACCCTCCCTCTGCCTCCTCCCCTGCCGGCCTCCGAGCCGGCCCCCAGCCAGTCCCCGCCGGGTGGAGGAGGCGCGCCGGCAGCGCTGCGTCCTAATCAATGGGCCGGGCGGCTTAGCGCGAGCGGCCACCTCGTCGGAGGAGGAGCAGTCTTCCGGCCCGCCGCAGGTCGGGTGGCTCAGCCATGGCTCCTCGGGGCACCTTGTCCGGCTGGAGCCCGGGACCCTGCACCGGGCGCTGAGCTCCCGAGTCGGCAGAGCGCACTGGCCGGCGGCCGGCGGGGCGCCCGCGGGGAGCGTGCGGGCACCATGCGTCCCCACCTGTCGCCGCCGCTGCAGCAGCTGCTGCTGCCGGTGCTGCTCGCCTGCGCCGCGCACTCGGTGAGTACTGCGCCCTTCTGCGGGCTGGGGGGGCCCGAGGGAGCGGCGGTCTCGCCCCTTTTCTGGCCTCGGGCAGGATGCGGGTGGTGGGGGACTAGCAGATCTTCCGCTGAAGAATGGGGACTCTTCCCTCCCAGTCCTTCCAACATTAATCTCTCCCAGCACTTCTCCGGAGGGACCACTTTCCAAAGAAAAACCTCGTGCGCGCCAGGGCAAGGCAGCTTTAAGATGAATGCCCGTGCTCCCCTCCCACGCCTTCCTCTGGCCCGGCTTCTGAGACTCTCCTAGACTGAAATTCTGGAGCCGCCCCCTGGCAATGCCTATTGTGTCCTGACGCTTTGCCTCCAATCTTTCGTGGAAACCTCGTAATCACCTTTCTAGGCTGATATTGTCACCCTCATGTTATAGACGAGGAAAGGAAAGGAGAGAGGGAAGAATTCTTGCTCCAAGTCAGAAAAAGAGGATTGGAATCCGCATCAGTATCAGTCTGCCCCTAAACCTTGACATTTTCACACTCACGGGCTGCAGATAGGAAAACGTGAGGGAGCTCTGGCAGGAGCTTCCGGGTCTGCGACGGGGCGGCCTGCCACTCTCCTCACACCCTCGTGTGGGATGTGGCTGCCTAATCGCTGCGTGTTTGTTGGCTCCTGGGAGCTGCTACTCCTCAGGTTCTGGCAGGGGGCTGGAGGAGGGAAAAAAAAATGCGGCAGGATGGACGGTTTGTTTTTCTTTCCCACAGAAATTCCTGGGAGTCCCGGCCCCTCTGAGCTCTGGGATCTGTGAACAAGAGAGTGGCACCACCCAGACCAGCAGAAAGGAAGGAATGGGAGGGAGTGGGGATTAGAGGTGGGGGCCAGATTCCAGAATCATCCCTTGCCACTTGCATTCCAAACTGGTCCCCAAGGCCTCTGTTCCAAGAAGCTTCTCAGGGAAAGTGCCTGGGGACCCAAATGACTCTCTGATCTCTGTCCTGGGCAAGTCTCTTGGTGTCCAACCTCCTTGTCTTCCCATAGTCCCCTCAGGTTTGATTATAAGGAAAACCAGTATTCCTGGAGCTGAGTAGAGTGTTGACACTCAGGAGATGCTCATTTTTCTGGCCACCCAAGACTTCCAGCAGCAGTAGTTGGGATGCATGCAGTTTGGAGCTTGCTTGGAGCTCCCTTGCTGCCATGGAGCCTCCTCTTTTCAGTGGCATTGCTGGCCTTGGAAGATGCTAGAGCAACAGCATGCACTCATGAGTTTTGACTCCCAATTTGGAGAAACACCAGCTAGGATACTGGGGACAATGCAGAGCCAGGTATAGCCTGGAGGGGTGTTATTCCGTGGCTAAAGGTGGGAGAGGCAATAGCTCCTTCCCTGGGACCCTCCCAGCCTCTTTCTTAAGTATCTGCAGTGACTCTGAGACTGTCATAATTGGTGCCTTGAGTGCAGGGCTGAGGTTCAGTCTACATTTTTATCTCAGGGAAATGCTTGGATTATCACAAGAATAAGTGGAAGAGAAAAATGAGAGGCTTCGCTTGCTTTAAGCCTTCAGTGTACCTTGGAGGGATGCTTCATTATGCTCTGGTCCCAATCCCTCATTTTACAAATGAGTACACTGAGACCCTCAGAGAGAAGGGAGCTGCCTGAGATCATCAAGTCGGTAGCAGAGCTGAGACTAGCAGCTCTACAAACCCCACATACCCCACTTAACTCCTGAAGGTTAGCACCCAGATCTCTTGATTTCCAACCATCCAGAACTCTGTCTGTTACGCCCTTTGTATTTTCAAAAGTGCATTACTGCCTTACAGAATCACAGGATGGTTTCCTGTGCCTAAGTTGTGGTCCTTGGGTTATTTTATGGGCTTCTCTAGACCTGAGGTTATATCTCACAATTCTTGGCGGAGAACTCCTGTAATAGATAGAAGTGGAACCGATCTACTTTGGTTGGAGTGTTTCCCAGCCTCTGGAACCCTGCTTTCCTTCTGTTTCTTTGACTCTGTGTGGCCAGACATTTGATTTTGAAACGTAAGTGTGTTCAAATAATTTTTTATTCATTTGAAGCTCCCCCTCGAGGGAGATTATAGGCATCTTCCTAATGGAGCGGGGTCACTGAGGCCAAATTGCCTATTACCGTTGTCCCTCTACTCCAGAAAGGGAGGTGTCAGAAGTGACCCTTGTAGGTGGAACCCAAAAATTGTTGATGGCTGAAGGGGCAGTTTTCTGAGGCCCCCATAAGAAATACTGAGCACACCCCACTCTGTGGCCCCACCCCAATGCATCTCATTAGAACTTTTACCTGGAACATTACTGTAATTATTAACTAACACATCTGTCCCCTAAACCCCAATACACACACTTTGAACTTGAGCATAGAGACTTATCTTGTTCATTTTTTTATCCCTGGAGTCTGTCACACTGTAAGAGGGAGCTCAGTGAGTGTGTGTTGGATGAATGCATGGATGACTGAATGAAATAATGATGATACAACAAGTAATGAAGAATCACATCTTGAAAGGGCTCCTTACCAGCTGAATTGTGCAGAAATGTGTCAGGCCATGGAAAAAGCACCACTCAAGGTAGGGCTTTCTAATCCATGGCATCTGGCAAACTGCCAGTTTGTTAACCTTAGTGAATTAAGTGAGGTATGTAGGACTGGTTTTTCCTTCAAGCAGAGTCTCTTAATACTATTGATACTTGGAGCCAGATAATTCTCTATTATGAGAGCTGTCCTATGCATTGTACAATGTCAAGCAGTGTGATGGACTTCTACCCACTAGAAGCCTACGATCTCTCTAAAACTGTGACAACAGAAACGGTATCTCTAGACATTGCCAAATTTTTCTGGGGGTTGGGAGGGCAAAATTGCCCCTGCTTGAGAACTGCTGCCTTAAAGGTTGTCGTGTTTCATGATAGATGCACAGACAGGGCTAACAATAGGTATTTATTTCACACTGGGTGTGGGGCAGTGATAGGACATCTGAGTCAGAGGATGGAAACAGTGTGCCTGATGAAAACCAGTCTCCAAACTGGAAAAAAGACTTCTGCGGAGAATGGGTTCCTTGATCTATTCCACCCTCCCTTCCCATCTCACCCCTCCTATCTCCATCCCTTCTCAGTTGATGGCTAAGAAATATAAATGTTCCAAGTACGGGCTTAGGTACATGGAAGCCTTTGGTACATGGTGATTGCTGCCCTGTCCCGTCATGCATCTGAATCCAGAGGCTGACAAGCCCTGTGGCTGCACAGTGAGCAGAACCTTAGAAAGGCTTGCAAGCATTGCCTGGCGAGCTGGTAATTTTTATCTTATGGAGACAGGGTCTTGCTCTGTTGCCAAGGCTGGAGTGCAATGGTGCAATTATGGCTAACTGAAGCCTTAAACTTCCTGGCTTAAGCAATCTGCCCACCTCAGCCTCCCAAGTAGCTGGAACTATAGACACCTGCTACCATCCCAGCTAATTTTTTATTTTTTATTTTTTGAGAGACATGGTCTCACCATGTCTCCCAGGTTGGTCTTGAACTCCCGGGCTCAAGTGATCCTCCTACTTTAGACTTCAAAATGTTCAGATTATAGGTGTGAGCCACCATGCTCAGCCTGGGAGCTGATTATTGATGACTTTTCAGAGGAGGGACACTGGAGATTTTTCTGTGTACTTGGAAAAACACTTTTCAATTTTCTGAAGACGTGTTTGTGTGGATTTCTTTTTAAATTTGTATTACCCCTGAAGATAATAAGTGAATAACGATCATGAAGATGATGATGAAGTCTCCTTTAATTGACTCATTTTCCACCAGACCCTCTGCTGAGTCGCTCCGAACACTAATTCTCACATCAATAGTTATTAGCTCCATGGTGCAGATGAGGAAACTGAGGCTCAGAGAGACGTGAGGCCATTTGCTTAAGACCACCCAGCTGGACATGGTGATGTGAGACCTTAAACCTGGAGGCTCTTAACCAGCACACGCATCTACTCCAGAAGAGAGGCCTGCTCCGGGTTTCTGGTGCCTAGTGGGCTGTCATAAAATTCTCTCCCAAACTTCAAAATAGCATTAATTTTCATTTAAACTAATCAATTTGTGAAATATAAAAAAAATACCAAGTTACAGCATTTATTGAGGGGCCCAGAAATGAGCATGGGGTCACAAAATCCAACAGGAGGAGATACCATTTCCTAAACTGGTTGGGGGAGTCCATCTGCCTTGGCATTACCCTTTGGAGTTCCTGCAGAACTCCCTACCCTCACCCTGTCCTCATGATCCTCACTTGGGTTGGGAGGGCCCCAGATTTCCTCCCAAGTCAAAGGAGGGCATAGCTTCTCTTCCTGGCATCCCCTTGTTAAAGCCTAGATTTAATATCCAGGAATAGAGCTCCACCACCAGAACGGCCCCTAGCAATGAGCCCCGGCTTGGTCACTGCCTCCCTGTTCTTGGCAAGCTGTGGGTTCTCACCACTGACCTTCACCTGGGCTTCGGGACAACCTGCAGCCCAAGGTAAAAACCACAACACTCAGATGCTATCTACTTGCTTACATGACAAACAGAAGGCTGCTCAGCATTCCTGTGGACTCCTGGGACCCATCCAGCCTCTGCATTGTGTGTCCGTTCCAAGGATGGCATTTGGGGAAGGCCATCCCTGGTTCATCACGTCCCACAGTCCCAGCCCATTGTGCTGCAGGCTCCTGAGATTCCCAGAGTCCTCTCCAGATTCCGCCATGTCCCACCCAACTTCCGTCACCGGAGGCTCTCAGGCATGCTCCTGACTGCCACGTGTCTTTCAAATTTCTCACGTCCCGCCTCCCTCTCATTTTCAACAGATGGGCTCGCCTTCCACTTCCCAAGAGTTGAGTCTATCTGGATGAATTTCTAACCAACATCTTGCCCTTATAGATGTGTCTAAACTGTACCCTCTGTTCCCTTCCTTCCCATCTATCTTAGTCAGCTGTGTTATCACAACAAAATACCATAGATGTGGAGGCTGAAGCAAAAGAAATTGATCTCGTGGTTCTGGAGGGTGGAAGTGT